TCTAAAAAAAATAAAAATATATACTGAATGATAGATAACAAACTGATGGTTCCCATTTAAGACAACTAATTTCCAGGATGTTTCATGCGATCAACACCTGTAATGCTTATGCAAACACACATTGGAGATTGAGCTTCATAGTGGTTCCTGGCATGTAAAAAACACCACAGCACAGTCATGCCAAAAATCATCAAAATTGCCCCGAACTGCAAGTGTGAACACACCCTTAGTCAAAAACAATTTAATAAAAGAGCAATTAGATGCACATAATAATACTACTACTAATAATAATTTGTTATATTTATATATGCTTAAATTATCAATTCATATACATTCAGTTATGAATATATGTAAATATGTTTCAGAAGTTTCATGAAATTCTGAACTGAATGTATTTTAAATAATGATTAAGTATTGCATAATAAAAAAAATGCTAAATATGCTTAGCTGCATTACAGAAAACTTTTGAGCTGATGCGGCAAAAAAATGTAATATAGTTTCACAGTTGATTCATTATCTTTCAATGTTTACGATTCTCGCTGTGTCTCCGCTCAGCTCAATTCTCATTAGAATGATTCCTCTATCCTTCACTGTGACAGCAAGGGAAGATGCGAAGGCATCGGATATAAAGAAATTGGGTTTAGGACTAAAAAAAAAATATTTCTTTCTCTCTCTTTATCTCTGGTGGCTAAAACTCAAGGTTGCTCTGTGTGTCAAATTGCTTTTGATGATACAGTGTGATCCACAGGCAATATTGGTTTGAGTTTAAGCAAGCAATACATATTCTCTCACCCCTACAGTCAGGGGGTTACAACTCATGTATTAACTCCAAAATGGTTAATTCTGAATGTTTTTTTTATCCATATTGTAGAATGCATAACATGCATGTTCTATTACTGTTTATCTAATGTTTTGATCCAAAGCAGTTTATAATCTATTAAAAGCAGAGATTAAGTTTTTAGGAAAAACTGCCATTCATGGTATTTACTGAGCTATAATTACCTGAACCCATGAATTGTGTACTACCAGCCTAAAACTACGAAATTGAAAAATTATTTTTTAATTTGGACATCTGGTACAAATAACATAAATATAGGCTTTTTATCATTAGGCAACAAAATAATACATGTGCTTTGCAGCTCACTTGTTGGTGCTGATTAGTTAATCAAGTCTGTACATTGCACGGTAAGTTCATTAGGATTCTCAACTGGGATTTTCCTGATAAAATTCCTACAACATATGAACAGGAAGTTCTCTGTCAGCCTTAACAATGGGTGGCCACACCACACTGCCGATATGAAAATCAATTTGATGAGCTACTGTACGTCATTGGGTGCGCAGTTAGATCCAAAATACACACATTATAGCAGCCACATATCCGCTGATGAGACGCTTCTCAGGGCCAAAGCACATTTGATATAAATAAAGACAATATCTTGAATGTCTTGGATGATGATACTTGATCTCTTATAAGTTAACCTATTATAATATTATTGTAAATAAACTTTTTAATTCAAAAACTTTATCAATGTGACAAAATAGTTCAGTGGGATTATTTATTTATTTTTGCTCAATTTTTTTTTTAAATAGAGTAAAAAATACAGTATGTGGTACTGTTTTTTTTTTTTTTTTTTTTAGATTATTAGGTCATATAATCTTAAAGTGCAGTCACAAATTAGGACCATTTTCAATAGTGTAGTGATGCATGATGCACAGAAATACAGAAGTCACTTTAAAATCAAGCCACTTTCTGTTGGTACACTGGTAAACCAAGTAAGCAGCTTGAAGCCATTGCACAAATGTAATTTTTCTCCATTATGCAAAACTCCCTATTGCGTGGATTCCTTTTAAAATGAAAATCTGATGAACAATATTAAATATGACCACATCGTTAGCAGTGTTCTGCAAAATAAACTTTATTTTTAAGGTATCCTTGTTTCAGTGTATACATTTAAAGAGATTGTTCACCAAATATGAACGTTCTTTCACATATAAACATTGATCATGGTTGAGCTTCAGTGTACACAACTGATGTATGAGTTGATTTATGTTTATGTGAATAAAAGCCTAAATTCAATCAGTTAATTAAATAAAGAGATCTTGTCTGTTCAGAAAATTTTGATTAATCCACTTAATTCATGAATTTGTTTTTCGACATCTTTATTAACTTTTTGAAGCGTCAAAGTTAGTTGTGCAGCTGTTTATGGAGGGACAGAAAGCTCTCAGATTTAATCAAGATGGACAAAAGTCTTACAGGATTGGAAAGACATGAGGGAGAGAAAATAATGAAAGAATTTAAATTTTTGGGTGAACTATCCTTTTCAGTAACGAGTAGTATTAATTAACTACATTTACTTAGTACTTAGTTACATGAAATTATGCATAATTTAAAGTTATTACAGTAACTACATATAAAAAGGACACTTTAAAATAAAGGCCACACGTATGTCTTATCGTATCTTCCTACCACTATTAGTAAACGCAACTCCTTTAAGCTTGCGTTCGGTTATCCACTGGAACGCGCTGCCTAGTTCAAAGTAAACTAGTGAAACAACTGAAACCAGCGCTATTTTGTTCTCTATTTGTTCTTACTGACCGAGAAACCGCTTCAGATGATTCATTGACAGAACGGTCCGAACGAATCCGAATCGGTTCCTACTGTTATGCACGCGCGTTTGGCCAATTCGTGAAAAGGAGATAGGAATCGAACCAACGAATGATTAATATCGCTGGTTCAGTCGACAGAAATACGGGACACACATATTAACTGCTGAAAAATTCGGACTGAAAACGTTTTTCTCAGGTCAGTCGAAGCGCTCGTGGTACACACACAGTGCGTATACAGCTGCACGCGCCACTGCGGCCACGCGCATATCAAACCAAATTTAGCCGCACCACCAGAAAATAGGAGGGGGAGGTTGGAGTGCTCTCGGGCCGCATGGAGATGATTGGCGGGCCGCACTTGGCCCGCGGGCCGCCAATTGAATAGCCCTAGCTAGACGATACAGCTAATATTACACATGCACACGCGAATCGATCTTTCTTCTGCCTGTATGTCTTGATTGACAGATGTCTCGTCCAATCAGCGATCAGTATTCCATTCGCCACATATACCTACCTTTTCCGTTTTGTCTGACTTGTCGTTGTGTTTTCTGACTTAATAATTTGTTTTCAGATTTGTCGTTGTGTTTTCTGACTTGTTAATTTGTTTTCAGATTTGTTGTTGTGTTTTCTGAATTGTTATTTTGTTTTCTGAATTGTCGTTGTGTTTTCTGACTTGTTTTTTTGTTTTTATAATTGTGATTTGTTTTGCACCTCTCGGCCACCGTAGAAAGATGCCTATTTTTAGATTCAGATAATACCCCGTCACAGGCCATTCTTGAGATTCGCCTTCGACGGTCAGGTATATCAATACATCATCCTGCAGTTCGGCCTGTCTTGAGCACCCTGTACATTCATGAAGTGCATGGATGTGGCTCTCGCCCCCTTGAGAAATAAGGGCTTGTGAATTCGATTATGCAGTCTAGAGCTCTGTGGACTATGTTCTCCAGATGGTGCACCTACAAAAATCTGGACCCACGAACATGTGGGGTCTCGCGGTTGCTAGTTTCCTCCAAGAGCTGTTGGATTGGGGAGGTCCCCCACCACGCTTAAAGTCTATGTGGCAGCCGTTGCAGCGTTCGCAGAGTTGAAGCACGGACAATCACTTGGAAGGAACAAGCTTGTCATCTGCTTCCTTAGAGGAGCTAGGAGGATGAATCCCCCAGGCCCCCGTTGGTTCCTATGTGGGATTTTTCTTTGGTCCTCAAGGCCCTGAAAGGTAATTTCTCTATCGGCTCTTCCAGCATCTGTTAGCGAGAGCGATGTTAATCTTCTCTGAACGGTCAGGGAGCTGAGGGCTTACATTACGCACTCCGGCCCTTTCGGGTACTCGGAGTAGCTTTTCATTTCATTTGGGGGGCTCACTAAAGGTCTCGCCGCATCGAAACAAAGATGGATAGTGGATTCTATTGCAGCTGCCTATGCGTAAAAAGGTCTGCAATATCCTTTGGGCTTCAGGGCTCATTCCACTAGAGGCATGGCCTCTAGTGGGCATGGTCCAGTGGAATTTCTATTCATAACATATGTGTGGCGGCGGTCTGGGTCTCCCCGTCCACCTTTCTTAGGTTCTACAACCTGGAAGATCCCGCCCTGCAGGCTTGACTTCTGTCAGTATAAGTGAAATGTACGTTCTGTCCAGATCTGATCGTGTGCAGCAGGTTACTCTCACGTGACTTAGCTCTCCTGGTTGATCTGCACTATATTGAGTTAATATGCTATATGCTTATACAGACCAGCGGCATCGCTTTATATTCCCTATGAGTGCTTATGTACTTGTGCCGGCCTGTGTTGCTGGCCCCCTTATTCCCTGCTTATCTGGAATTCCCTCGGACTCATGAGGTGGATACTTGGCGCACATGGCGTTTACAAAGGTTTCTCGTAGTGTAAGCTAACTTAGGCAATGCGAGAAAACCTCTCGTAAGAGAACGCATCGGTTTCCTAATGTAACCTTGGTTCTCTCTAGAAGAGGGTACAGGTATTGTGTAACCAGCCATGCTCGCACCACGAGCAACTTTCGCTTCAGTCAATGAAAACCAGGGAGACAGCCTTCGAGCCCTGCTTATATACGCTAAACCATGCCCATTCTGGCAGGCTAAGTGGGTGAACTCTTCTAGAGAGAACCGAGGTTACGTTACGTCACTGATACGTTTTCACATTCACATACAGCCTCAAGCTGATGTGGCATGATGCAACGGGACAACAGTCGAGCCCTGTGTAGACGAGTGTTAGTCTAAAACTGAAATTCTATTCTCATATCTCAGACATTCAAAAGAGCAAATAAATGAGAGAATATTGTAAATTTAATTATTGAACATGTTAAAACCCTTGACATAAAACATTTGGGTTTAAACACTTCAAAAATAGTGCTTTAGGAGATATAAAGGAGTGTGTACACTTACTCTGCTAGTGCCCTTCGTATGATTGAGTGCCGCTGTCGGTACACATCCAGTTTTGACAAACAACTGCAGGAAGTGTGGTTGGCGAAGCTTATGGTGACTGGCTTGGTCCCTTGCTTGATAGGAACTGTGATTTCAAACAACTGTAGAGTGAAAATAGAAGAAAGGTCACATTTTCAATAAAATACTACAGACTTACACAAACTAACTGACGTAAGATGTGAGACCACATGAAAGTTTACTTATACTTTAAGGAGTTTGCTAGAAGTCAAAATGAATTGTGGGCAGTCAATTATGTCTAAATCAAGATTAATGAATGGATTTATGTCTAAAGGAGTTGTGCAAGGAATTGTCTTTCTGAGAAATCAGTGTACAGACAAAACCACACCTACAGTCTGATCAAACAAACTGGTAAGGGGAAATGGGGAACTTGTGCAAGATAATTTGCAAGGCAGGCAAATAATGTTAGACCAATAAATCAAAACTTCCTCCAGCTATGCTATGGGGAAACATTCCAAGGAATTTATGTTGAATGTGCAATGCCAATCATAAGTGCTTGTAACGGGATTGTGCAGCTAAAATGGCCAAGAACATTTAGTTTTAATTTTAATGTTTTATGTCATACAGGGCTGTGCACAGACATTTTGAGGGGCAGTGGCTCAAACCAAAAAAGGGGCACTATAAGGAGTTTGACTGAGGCAGTACCATCTTAATATAGATAATTAATTACAACTCTTTTAGTCTTTTATAATCATGGGAAATAAGATTACAATTAGGATTTAGTGCTAAATCACTTTATGTTGTTATAATTACTCTTCCAATAAAAAAATGAAATAGCAGTTACTGTCCGCCAGTTTAACTGTCTGATTTGGCTGATGCTCAGTGGGCTCTCCCTCACTCTCTGAGCTACCTCATCTTAAATGGAAGTATTAGACATCTAATTTTAAAATTATCCAGTTACAGTATAAATTGAAATGATATACAGCAGGTTACAACAGTTCTAAAGTCACACCGGGGTAATATGCGCATTTGACCACTCGATGGCACAAATTCAGCTCAGCACTTTTCTTCATAAACGCTTTTGATGATGGACTTGGAAATTTGGCTGATCCGTGACTTGATACTGGCAAATTTGCCTAAAAGCATCATTGGATCTGACTAATCTACATGATTAAATAAATTCCTTAATGGGACAGTTTATTCAGAAATGAAAATTCTGTCATCATTCACTCACCCTTATTTTGCTCCAAATGCATATGATTGTATTTCCTCTGTGAAACATAAAAGGATAATTTATGAATGGGATTTTATTATTATTTATTTATTTATTTATTTATTTGTTTGTTTTGAAGCACCATATGGCTTGTGTGTTGGTACAATAGCATCAATAAACTTCAAAACCAATCGAAATTCATTGATAACCTTTCCCTTAAGTGAGCTGTGAGTGGTAACTCACCACCTTTAGGATACTTTTATGGTGATTGCTTTGTCTTGTTTTAAGTTTGAAATATTTCAGTAAAGATACATGTAATTGCATGTAAAAGAACATGGAAAGAAAGTCATACAGGCCTGGAACGACATGAGGCGTAGATGTAAAATGTCCAACCAGAGATGATAATACTCTGGATCATATTTATAGTAATATCAGAGGGGTTTATAAGGTCTCATCTCACCCCCACTTAGGGCAGTCTGACCATCTGACCCTCTTCCTCACACCAGCGTACAGACCTGTGTTTAAGAGATCCATGCATACTGTTAAACGAACCAAACTGTGGCCTGCTTGTGCGATTCCAATTGCAAGACTGTTTTGAACACACTGATGTGCACTTTTCTAACAGCAGAGTCTTGAGGATTAAACTTTGCATTACATTAAAACCTGCATTGATAGTGACAGTGAGATACTGTTGAAAGACAGGTCAAATGTTATCAAAACAATAAACCATGGATGAACAGGGAGGTCAAGCTGCTGTTGAGAAACCACAATGAAGCCTTTAAGTCTAGGGATAAGGAATTATACATCACCGACAGATCCAAATTAAAGAAAGGCATCAAGGACGCAAAAGTGGCCTACAGGAGGAAGATAGAGGAGCACTTTGACGAAGGGGATCCACAGTGTGTTTGGCAGGGAATACAACACCTTACGAACTTTAAGGGTTCAGCGGCCGGACCAACAATACTCTTGCCCAAAGAAGATGCCCCGACACTCTCCCTAAGAGAAGAGGAGGTCAGGAGGGCATTTCTTGGTGTGAACCCCAGGAAGGCTGCCGGGCCCGATGGGATCCCTGGGAGAGTGCTGAGGGACGGCGCAGATCAGCTGGCAGAGGTATTCACTTCCATCTGTAACCTCTCTCTGTCTACTTGTTCCATTCCCAAGTGCCTTAAATCAGATATCATTGTGCCGATCCCGAAAATATCAGCTGTGAGTAGCTCCAATGACTATACACCAGTGACTTTCACTTCCACTGTTATGAAGTGCTTTGAAAGACTGCTGTTGAAACATATAACATCCTCCCTTCCTCACACACTGGACCGGCACCAGTTTGCCTATAAAGCAAACAGGTCAACCGCTGATGCCATCAACACAGCCCTGCACTGTGTGCTGACCCACCTGGAACACCCTGGCACCTATGCAAGACTGTTGTTTGTGGATTTTAGCTCTGCGGTTAATTGTATCATTTCTGGAAGACTGGTGTCCAAGTTACATGGACTGGGCATCAGCACAAACATCTGCAGATGGATCAATGACTTTCTTACGGATCGTTCCCAGTCAGTTCGTCTGGGCTCGCAACTTTCCTCTGTTCTGACAATCAGCACTGGAGCACACCAGGGTTGTGTGTTGAGCCCCCTACTTTACATTTTATACACTCATGACTGCACCCCAGTTCATGAAAGCAATACTATTATCAAATTTGCAGATGACACCACTGTAGTTGGACTTATTCAAAACAATGATGAGTCCGTATACAGGGAAGAAATCCAAAAACTTTTTGCCTGGTGCTCCACCAACAACCTGTCTCTCAATGCCTCTAAGACCAAAGAGGTGGTGGTAGATTTCTGCAGGAAGAAGACTGACCTTGCCCCTGTCTACATTAATGGAGAAATTGTGGAGAGGGTTGAGGACTTCACATTCCTTGGGACATACATTTCACAGGACATTACTTGGACAACCAACACTACAGCTCTTGTGAAGAAAGCTCAGCAGCGACTGTACTTTCTCAGGTCACTCAATAAAATTAACCTCTCCCAGAAATTGCTTTTATCCTTTTACAACTGTTCTGTCCAAAGCATTATCTCACACGATATTCTGGTGTGGTTTGGTAGCACTGCTGCTGAAAAAAAAGCGCTGGATAGAGTTAGGAAATCAGCACAAAATATTATTCACATACAGCTCCCCTCACTTGTGGACATATGAAGAGTTCAGATGCAAAAGCCTCTAAGTGCCATTTGAAATTTTCTTCTAAAATGATCATTTTTATCAAGCTTGTATATTTATTTTCAGTAATTTCACTTAAATGGCAATGAAGACCTATTAATTGTCATTTAAGTGAAATTACTGAACTTAAATATACAAGCTTGATAAAAATTGTCATTTTAGAAGAAAATTTCAAATGGCATTTAGAGGCTTTTGCATCTGAACTCTTCATATATCATACCAGATGCAGGCAGCGGGCAAAAAATATAATCCAGGATAACACAGTCTCATCCCAAGTCGTCATATAACTGACGTCTTGGGACGTCTTTTGACCATACGTCAACATCCGCCTTTTTAGGGTATTCTTAAACGTCGATTAGTTGACGATCCCGGGCCGTCATACCTTTAATGTCAGTTAGGTGACGGGGTAGGTTTAGGTCTGGGGTAGGGTTAGGATCCGATAACGTCATCTAACCAACGTTTAAGGGTACCCTAAAAAGGCGGATGTTGACATATGGTCAAAAGACGTCCCAAGTTATATGACGTCTTGGGATGAGACTGCGCTGTCCAGGACTGTTCCCATCCAGGTCACGGCCTCTTTATTTTGCTGCCATCTGAAAGGCGCTACAGATCTCTCCGGGGTCGCACCTCAAGACTTTTGAACAGTTTTTATCCAAATGCTATAAAATACCTGAACTCATGAGCATCTAGATTGCTCTGCATTTTTAATGACTATATTTGAGCTTTTATCTTTTATCTATATATGTATTTATTTACTGTGTGTATTGATGTTGTTTTGTCATATAATGTGTTACCACCATGGAAAGTGCAATTTAAATTTCGTTAGGCAATGACAATAAAAGGCAATTCAATTCAATAAATAAAATCTTGGTCCGTATTGTCTTGTCTACTCATCAAACTTATATACTCCTGCACTGAGTTCAGTGTCTTTGACATGAATCGTGGGTGCTATAGAAACCTTCAGCAACCAAGGCAGCAGATTCTTTCAGCAGGTTAAACAAACAAACAAGCTTCCAAACATTCTGTAATATTAGACCTCCAATTTTAGCTCATGTTGAATTAACAAATCACTCTCAAGGCACACATAAATGAATAAATGAAAGATATTAATGTGATATTCTAATCCAGTCTCCTCTGGTTGACTCATTTCACTCGGCAGATATTATGTTCTTCCTCTCCTTGGACTCATTTTATTCTATACCTCTTAGGTACACAGAAGCATCATTTAGCCTGTTTCTAATTGCATAGCATACAGTACATCTGTATCAGACTGTCATCAATCCAGAATATACAGGCAATACAAAGGCACAATGTAAGTGTAAGAAAACTATTTTTAACACCGAAGGGCCCTATTTTAACGATCTGAAACGAAAGTATCAAGCGCGAAGCACAAGTAACTTTGTGGGCGGGTCTTGGGCGCTGTTGCTATTTTACCGAATAAATAAAATAGTATAAATAGTATTATGAACAACGCACAATGCGTCACTGACTTTAGAATAGGTTTTTTACTGGTCAGTGGCGAAAAAACTCTCTTTGTTTGATGTTTGCAAAACTCCATTATTTAGTTGTTAACTGCTTTTACCAGGGCAAGTGATCCTAAAAGCTTCACTTGATCACTCTTGTAAATCTGTCAGCCCACCAGTCTTGATGATAAAATGACTTCACTGCAGTATTAACAGTCTAATAGGCATGGGCATTATATGTGCAGGTGAGACAAGGGTTAGATGAAACCAGAAGTCAATTTTATGTTTTTATTTTTTTTTTAGATGACAAGCTAACAGATTCCCTTGTTACTTTTACAGTGTATCACAGATATAAACTCCACTCTTGAAGATATAAAACTTCACTCTGAAGTCCTGTTGTCATTACATTATATTGTGCTCTATGTCAATATTGTATCAATACTAATACCATTAATTCAAAACACAACCATGTTCATCTGATGCATTTTTACTCTTGACCCAGTCATTTTGTTAATGAAACCTGGAGCTTGTAATTTCATAATCCAAATCTTACTAAAATATATTGAAACATCTTCAGATTGCATCTGTTGTTCAGGCTTTGTGCCCAGAATGGGAGTGTTACGTCTCTGCTGCAGTAGCGTGGACATGGAGGCCTTGACCTGCTCAGATGCTCAACTGGTGGGAGGGCGTCATGGTTTAAATCACAAGAGGAGAACCTATTGCCTGCTAAGGTCAGCCCACCCAAAATAAGTGGGCAATTTAAGGAGGCCTTCTTGAAAATAATTCACAGCCATGACCTCACAACTAAACCCCTGCCTTGTCCATAAGTTTCTAAATCAAAGCTTAACAGATCAGTTCTCTCTACAAAGGGAAGTAGGATTTAAAACAAAAGCAGACACTTTTATTCAAAGCAGTAAAGAACATCTTTATTGAAGATTATTGAAGTTTGCAATTAAATTATATAGTGTGAGAAATGTATTTATATATAAGGTGTTAGTTAAAGGTATGAAACTAAACATTTGCTAAATATGTATCTGTATTTTATAGAATGAAAAAAAAATATTCTAGATCTGTATTCAGAAAGAACCAGATGTGGGCTGGGCTTAAACTGAAAATGTCTCAAATTTGAAAGACAATTCAGTCAAATAAATATGGATCATTCAATATTTATTTATTTATTTATTTTCATTTTGAAGTCATTATTCCTGCATTCCCCAATGTTAGAATTAAAGGGGTACTTCCACACTGACAAAATGGACTTTCAGTGAAACTTGGCTACCTATGCAGATGAAAAGCAAAAATAAACTGTTTGAAATCAGTGTGATTAGAGAAAACAGAGGAAAATGTACACAGACAGGTAAGAAAGCTGCTGCCATAATGTTACATTTTAGCATAATGCTGTTTAAAGATTAGACAAAATAGCATTATTATTATTTATTTTTTATAATAATAACTGTTCTGTTAATAACCCTCTGTCGATCCGACTGTCGGTGGGCAGGGATACAAAATTGTGGAATCTGTTGTCCTGAAGCTATCAAAACTGAAAATGAATTTCTTGGCCCTGCTAACGCCTGCATCAGCCAAATTTAGTTTGCTTATGTAATAGGGTAGAAGGCCTAGGACTACAAATCATTTCGACTACAAAGCCCATGAATCAAGGCACTATAAAAGGAAATCAAACTTGTTGGGTTTTCTCTTTCTGGTACCATGAGCTAAGGAGAAGCTGTGTGGTGTTTTTCAAGGCTTTCAAGGTGTTTTTCATGCAGCTCATATCTGTTGCTTCCGGTGACGTGCACTTCATGAAATCTGTATATAGCGTGGGAATTGAAGATCAGATTAATATCCGTTTTGCAAAACACATTTATGTGAGCAGGTGTAAATGGAATCATTTTGATAAATCAGATAGCTATCCAATCTGAGAAAACGCATGAAGTGGCCAGGTGTAAATCCCCAAAGAATTTGTAAAAAAAGCTTGTAGTTCATTCCAAACCCCAACGCAAACTCCACGTAAGACAAAGAAAATACAACTTCTGTCTGTCCAGAGCCAGGAGTCGGAATAAGACGAGAGTCATTTATGGTGGGGGATCATTTATGGTGGTTTGATTTCTTTACTTTTGGTTTGGAGTAAAATTGTTTTGTTTGATCTGTGATTGAGTATGCACTTATTGGCAAGTGATTCTCCACTGGATAGGATTGGGAACCCTGTTGTCTGTAACTGTTAAAGTTTTGTTTTGTTTTTATTATTTGTTTTGTTTCTTTTCAATTTCTTAATACCCAACGTGCTACGCTTTTTTAAAAGGATAGTCAACCCAAAAATTGTTCCAAAATATATTTGCCAGAAACACTGTGGTTGTTGCCCATTTCTGAGTTCCCCTCACTTGTGAGATGACGGGGTTACACTAACGTCAGCAAAGATACAATTTAAGGTCAGTACTGCTCATCACTGGTTCCAAACAGATTTGTAGACACAAACACATGCTGAAATAGTCACTCACCGTTTTGCTGATATATGAAGTGCTGATGTTCACGCACTGATGCTCCTCACTGTTACAGCAGCCCCCACATCTGTAGACAGACACGCAGGGTGGTTTATAGAAGGTGTTTGTAGCTGCCCCAAACTCTTTCCCCACATCTAAACAAACTTGGCGTGGCATGCACAGGGTCTTTCTCCACTCTGTCTCAATACCTGGAGGAAGCGCAGCGAGACAGGAAGAAGAGGCACATTAAAAAAAGGCCAGCAGTGAAATACATGGATTTGTATGCACTGCAATTATTGCAGATCAGGGTCTGACATATTCTTGGCATCCTAAAGAAACTTTTTGTCAGGACTGTCAAAAAGTATAAAAAAAAAAAGTCTTGGCTGTAAGACAATAATGACAAAAACACTGCCAGCACAATCTGTGCCAGTGTTAAATTAATAGTCACTCACTTTTAATAATTTCAAGATTGATGAAAGCAGCCGCAAAGGAGGCCTCCTCCGACCTTGTTTCTGTGGAGGTGTAATCTCTGTGAGGCAAGCGCGATCCCGTCTTGGAACGACACTTCAGCATGCTCCAGTAACTGGGGTAAACTATCCTCATAAGTTCATCCACGCTACCTGCTGAACGTAACTGCTCCACCAGGTCTGAATGCTCCTGATAAGAAACAGAGAAACAGAATAAAACTAGGGAAAATCAGCCTGTCAGCTTATCCTACAAAGAATTCTTTAAAAAATGACAAAAAAATTACTCTTTCTTAAAAGGATAGTCCACCCAAAAACTGTTCCAAACTGTGTGACAATCTTTCATCTGCGGAATATAGGAGATATTTTGAAGAATGTTCTGACTGACTTCCATTATAGGACAAAAATTACAATGCAAGTCAATGGAAACAGAAACTATTTGGTAACTAGACACAGTTTTGGTTCCCAATGACTTCCAATGCAATTTTGTTTCAAAAACTGCCCCAAAACCACTGATTTTTGTCTGGTTACCAACATTCTTCAAAATATATTTTACATTCTGCAGAAGAAATAAAGTTGCGCAGGTTTAGAACAATCTAAGGATGAGTAAATGGCAGTATTTTAATTTGGATGATCCCGTTAAAGGAGAACTCCGGTCAGTTTTAACATTGAGCTCATTTTTTTGTACGTTTGGAGTGCTGTCAGTGCAGACAAAAACGACAAAAATCGGTGTTGCCTACACTGTGTTATCGTCTTTTAAAATTCACACCCTGTTGACTTCAATGGGGGAAGTTCTAAACCTGCTTTATAGCCTCTTAACATCCTTGATTTGTCACTACAAGTGCACAGCCATGTGAGTGGTGTTATTAAGACTGACCACGGTCAATCTGACTGCAGTAGATGTGAAAGATATGAATAAAAATGATGTTAATTCAGCCAGCTCACATACCTCTATTAGCTTCCTGTTTTCAGTCGAAGCCCACAGTAGTCGATTGTTGAGTTCACGCGCGTGACCATTGGTGATTTTTGTCGTTTTTGTCTGTACTGACAGCACTCCAAATGTACAAAAGAAAATGAGCTCAATGTTAATTCTCCTTTAAGAGGGATTTTATACCAGAGTAACACTTAACAGGATAGTTTACGCACATTTTTGAATTCTGCCATTTATGTTGTCAACCATATAGTTTTTTTCATGTTTCAAATAAAAAAATCATACAGGTTTGGAAAGACGAGAATAAATGATGACTGAATTTTTCATTTTGGGGCAAACTATTCCTTGGACAGCAACATAAAGTTACGCCTAACACTAGAGCTACATACTGGGTTATATCATAGAGGTTTTGATCAATGTGCTGGAGAGAACTACTGCAATGATTAAGCATGCCAAATTGTATAAGTCCCAAAGCAACTAAGAGAAATATCAATTGTTTTTATGTTATTTTTATAGCATGTTTCAATATTCAAAATACGGTTTGTAACTCTACTCACTGAATGAATATTTGGAGATCTAATCAGTGATAATAAACACATGTGATTAACTTTTCCATTGTTTTATCATATTTTTATCAATCCACAGTTATAATGGTCAACTGTATGCTGGCAACATTTTGTTGTGTTAAATCATGTATGTATAAATGAACGTACCACAATTAACCAACAGATATAAGCTTTCCCATGTCAAAATGTGTAAATGTGAAGAGTGAAACTGAGACATGCAAATAATGCTTTATTGAATGGAATGATCAGAACTCAATGGTTTCGACTCAGCCAATTGAAAGTATTGCTTACTCCGTAAGCTAGGTTGCCTGTGAAGACGGAGCCAAGTCTGTCTGCAGCAAGAGACACCCTAGCACACGCAATCAAACCCCCAAAGTTTTGACCTCTCCACAATCCGCAGTGGAATGAAAGTTTGCAATAAGTGTGAAAACACCAACGGCGTCTGAAACACCCTAAAGTCCCTGATGGAAAATGATACAGCTGTCTGGGACATTCCAGGAAACATGCCCAGTTTACCCACATAGCTGATCATGGCTGTCGATAAAAAAACACCCTCCCCCCATTGTAGAGGTGTTACATTTTTTTAGAAAAAAAAAAAAAAAAAAAAACTACTAGAAATTGAAGCTCAACAGAATTCCCCTTTCCAGAAGGCCAGTCTTTGGTATTGGTCCCAGTCACTCTCTAATATATTTGACTAGTGAATAAACACACTTTGTTTTTTGTTTTTTTTGTTTTTCATTAGGCAAATCACCAAGTTTACAGCAGACAATTTATTATATCAATTCATAAAAGGTAGGAAATTAGCTTTCGCTTACTCTTACATTTTGCTGTAAAGCCTATTATTTACATACAAAATATTTTTTTGGGGGGGCTGGATAAGTACAAGCAATGCTTTTCTAGGCCTCCCTACCCAACTCTCTTTCAAAGGAGATCCTCAGAACAAACATGAGCTTTACAGTTTTATAATTTTTTGAAAGTATACACTTGAAGGCCATTTTTCATGATACAGGACACTTTGCCGTGCCAGAATATATACAAATGTAACCATTTACATGAAATATGACTTTAAGATTGCATAGTTTCAAATGTTATCATAAATCCTTTGACATAGTAGCTGAACAAGATTCTAAACCCACATTGTTACCTGCAAACATTCAGTTGTACCGCATACCAAGGAAAATAGCTCTAATCGTGGAAAAAGGAAAAATATAATCCTTGTAGGAAATGACCGCTTCTGCATTGACTCCCTTCTGTTTATTCAGGAAACCCAAATCCCACAAAAAGAGTATGAACAAGACTATTGTATGTGGCCTCTTCCATGCCTTTGTTTACAGTGATTCCTGAGATAACACACTGGTCTGTTTCCTACCAGAAACAATGGAGACTGAGCAAATTATGTGTGGTGCACAGAACACAGACATATTCACACGTGAGTCAGGCCCAAACTTCAGGTTTTGTAATTGTAAAAATGCTAATACAATGCCCTATTTTTATGTTTTAGTGGTAACTATAAAAAGACACTGATGGGAGAACGATACAAATGGGAACCATGAAGTCTGAGAGCCCATGACCCAGAAATGCATTTATTGTTTTACTCTTGTGATCTAATTCATAGTATTAGGGATAACTTTATTCTAATTTCTAATATCACAAAAGAAAATAAATTGGAATGCATAATAACAAAAATAATAAATGTACTAAATTATATTTCATTCACATTTACCAGTCAGACTCAAAATCAAAAATCATGCTAAATGCATATTTAATTTCATATAAAGTTCAAATTGCATACAACTAATTGCAGCTATTTTTATTAATAATTATGATTTCTCAAAACTGTACTTTTACTGGATGAGTCGGAGTGAACAATGCCACTAATAGAGATCAGGCCAAGATCAGGATTTTCATTAAATAATACATGAAATATGGCATGAGACCATTCTGTGATATTTTTGCATCTTTTCCTAAAAGCTTGATGCTGGTCGCTAATTCACTGCCATTATTTGAACCAGTGCGAGTGGGGGGTTCGGGGGGCATTTTTAAGATTTCTCCTTCTGTGGTTTGAAAAATGAAGAACAGCATGCTACATTAAACAACACCAGGTTGAGTAAATTATGACTTAATTTCCATTTTAGGGTGAACTTTCCCTTTAAACAAAAAAGGTTTGACATTTTTAATGAAAGAAAATAAATAGTACATCTGATTAATCAAGTTGAAGGGAGAATGGCGTCAATACGAGATTGCATTTGGCCCCGAAAAGCAGTGATTCATGGGATGCAATAAAATGATGACCTGATGATAGATGCATACAACATCAGTGGCCAGTAAAAATACTTCACCTTCAACAAGCTAGAAAGAATGTCTCATTGAATTAACCACAATAGAAAGCAGCTGGGTTTAACACTTGGGACAGGATGCCATCTCCATTTTAACAAAATCATTGGATGCCACACACGCTCCCAATAATGATAATGACACCATCATGACTGCCATTATTTTAAAGTTCAAATGTGAGTCAACAGTTTGATGGCAATTAGCCCATAAAATGTGCATCATTAGACTGAATGCTCATTTCAGACACCCTGAAGCAACACGTATTCTCTTGATGACGTAGTGTTTCCTGAAGCAAACCACAAAACTGACACAATGACACAAACAGCTAGATCATTTTTTGGCAATGAGGTTAGAGTTTATCCTCTAAGCCGATACCAGCATCCGGAGCTATTTTGGATGAGGTTTCTGGAAGGCACCCTCACCGAATGAATTCCTTTAGTCTGAGTCAAAATGCTTAATATTTAGGCCATAAAAATTAAGCATTTTGTTTTCATAATATTAAGTTTATACAGTTCAATTTCCATTAAAGTCACCCCATGCTCCTACATTAAAGCTTAATAAAAAGGTCAGCCATCACAACTTCATAATTTATGAGTTCACATTTTCATATACTCCTTAGGTATTGAGAACTAGCTTGTTGACGATTTTTTAATCAAGAATTGATTGATGTATTTGCAAAAATACAATTGTTTCAAATGTGTTCACCAGTAAAATTGACAATTTCATGATTTCTACTTTCTTACACACTAAGTAGCTAACCATTCAGAAAGAAAACACAGTTAGCAATTGTAATTCTACAAAGGCCTCTCAAGCAGTCAATTGTGGTTTATTATCTATAATGGGCAGTTATGCAATTGTGAAGAGAGGAACAGACAGTACGATAGAATATAATCATAACAGTGTTTAACCAGATTGCATCTTCACACATAGGTTATATTTTCAAGTAAATAAAAGTCAAAGCCATTATTGTACTAAATTCTACTTTCAACACAATGGGAAAAAAAACAACAGAAAATAAATGCTGTCACTGGGGAGTATTACAGACTTCGACACAGATCATAACACATGCTCACTGAACTCAGGTGAAACATGGCCCCCATCATGGATATTATAGCAGTTGTGCATATGCACAAGAACACATGTTGCATCTGTTCCAGGCATACTTTCATCCTCAATATTGGACTCCAGAGAGCAGGCTTGCGAATGGTGCTGTGCTCACTGAACTTGAATGATGTCGTTGAAGTCTGGTGGGGGCATGTCTGGGTCTACGTTTGCCAACACTCAGGAGGAGAGTAAGAGGATCTGAAATATCATTAACCCCCATATGATCTCCTAGAAACCCTAGAACTAACTGCAAGCTTTGAGCCTTTGACCTAGGGGAGAACCAATTCCTTGGAGAATAAGTCTGGCCACAAGTCTGAAGAGTAACTGAGACCCTCTTCAACATCCAGGCTTCCCACATTTCAGACAAACAAACCTAATCTGTCACTTTTTCCTAAAGCAATTGAGATGCTCCCAAAGGTAGGAGGACTGCATTAATTCTATATTACAGCCTCTTGTATGAAACTAAACCAACCGCTGGATTCAGTACACAGGCTAATGCACATTTGCATGCGCTCTTGAGACCAGACCATCCGCATGGAAATCATTTTTCCAGTCTTTAGCCTAGTATCTGTTGGATCCATTAATATGACTGAGCAGCAACATAGAGCACTAACAACAGAGAGCACGGCCTATGTCTAAATCAGTCCATTCAAAAACAATGCTTTCCAAGTCCAATTTGCTGTATAACTTTATTACACTTTGTGTTGCACCATTGCTAACTACGCCAACAACACTAAAATTGTATTTTCTTTATTTTATTGATATCAGTTTTTAGATTCATTTGGCTCTGAATCTTAGCCAAAATGGAAAGTCGTGAATCATGCATAATAAGAGCAGGAATGTGCCATTTTGATTTTATGTTGACTTTAAGACATAATCTAGAGATTTGTCTGAGTCGTTTTTTTTAGAAAGACTTGCTTTCTGGGTCTGATCCGTTTCACGTGTAGAGGCAGGCGTGTGTCAGGATGCAATTACTGTGCACTTCTGACGCGTACTTGGTTAAGGTTTCTGTGGTGCAATAAAGCTATTA